AAACACAGTAGTCCTTTTATCTACTAAAGACTGATAAAACAGAGTGAAATTATATACTACAAAAACTTTAAAAAAGACAGTGTAATTTGGAATACACACACCTGCCAAACAGATTAATAGTTTTAAGCTTTTCAACATTGGAATTAGAACCAGAATTTTTAGGGCTGTTACTTACCTAAAGACAGAAGTACACAACAGACGGACTATTCAGGTATCACGCTGTGTGCCTGTGTTCCAGTCAAGGTAAGCAGCACTCCTGAAAATGTCAACAGTCACTTGGTGTATAAAATACAAGGATAGACAATTGTTCAAAAGACATTTATCCTTAGAAATCCAGTACTTAGTTTTCTTGTAAATTTAACTGTGTTTTTAATGATGAACAAAATAATTGAACCGCAAAGCAGAAAATCACTGAAGTGAAAAGCAGCTGCCTTAAATATTTCTTATTCACTGAATGACCCCTAGTGGTCATTCTCCAGAGGAGGAGTGCAGGTTTTTTTCCAAAACATGGAGCGTGCACATTAACTTTTCAAGCCCGTGCACGATGTGCTTTTGCTTTACACCTGAAAGTCTTCCTTGTAGTTGAAAAGTGAAATTAAATGTGACTTTAATGAGTGAGCACTCTACTACCTCTATAGAAGTTTTAAGCTAGAGTTCTAGTAGCTGTTCACACCCCTTGCTGTCTCTCTTTGCAAGCCAATACCTCCCCCATCTACTTCTCAGGTACGCTATAGAGATGGCGTTCTGGATGACGCAGCATTGCTGTCTGTCCTCTTATCATGTATGACATTCTGTTCAGCTTCTCCGAATGTTGTGGTATTACCCGGCACCAGCCACCAAGTGTAATCTCTCACCACTAGCCAAAATAGATCAAGGTTGACCACTTTCTTCTAAATAAGGAGTGAGTTTATCTGTCCAAAGAGCAAACGCAGCAGAGGGCATACTGGTAACATAATTGGACAGAGAACTCTAATCCCCTGTATTGTAGGGCATAAAAAGAAATCTCAGCTGAACGTTCAGCAGCACACTGGAAAGCAAATGGCATTCTCATCACCAAGGATTTTGATTAGCAATTCTGCTGATCTTTTTGTGGGTTCTTTAAAAAGCTGAGCTGGATTGTTCTGCTGGATGCTTTTATCAAACCAGACACTAGAGAATTTATTAAATGCTTTTGCTGAGGATGGAGAGTTGGTTCCCAGAAACATTTCTTGTATTACCATCTTTCTCAAGTATATAAAAAATTTCCTATGTTTGTGTATTCTGTACTTAGATATTGTCCACAAACATGAACTGCATTACAAGAAAGCTATTCACACATTCATTTGATTAAAGTCAGGTAACAATTTAAAAGTGGTGTTGGCTGTCATCTTTTTTTCTCCCAGAAGGTTTGTATGCTGGAAAAACTGCACCTCCAATGGGAGACCACTGAATAAGCAACCAATGGTTAAGAACCATTAAAGGTTGCTTCCTGGTCCTACTTTTGGAGTTAAAAGTTTTTGACAGAACAGCAATAAACCTTTTTCTATGCAGGCAGCAATATCTAGATTAAAGTTATCTTTTTCAAATAAAATGCAAAGAAAAAACTGTCTGCCTGACTACCTGAGTTATACTGTTATAGTTTGCCTTCTTTTTTTTTTTCCCTCATAGAAAAAAAAAATGTTGAATGCATGCATGTTTACATGGACATGTCATGTCATTGGAACTGGATGGCTGCCAGAGAAGGAATTCTAATATATAGTCTAATTCAGACATTCTTTTTATGTTATTGATACCTGGCATCTTTTCAAAATAATCTTGCCTGATTTTGGACACTTTGCAGACTGATTTAGTTGTGTTGCTTCATTGAAATCTTGGGAAAGTTTGCTTCCTGAAGCACTACATTAAGAATGTCAGTCATAATATTTCAATGTTTTGACTATATTAATCATTAAAATAATTGGGTTATTTTTCCTGCATTACTTCAGAACATAACATCCTTTTCCTACCTCCTAAAATTCATCCTTTTCCTACTGTTATTAGTACCTAGCTCAAATTTTCTGAAGACTGAAACTGTGTGGCAACCTACAGTTAATGTATACAGTGTTATGGCACCACGTATCTGTTAGATAATGCAGTGCAGATTGAGACTTTTACTACACGTTTAGGATTGATTTGTATTGCATTGTGTAAGTGGCCGCATGGAAGCTGGCTCAGTAGAGAGTTATTCTCTGTGGCATTCTCCCTATGTAAAATTAAAAAGTTTTCCCTGTGAGCTGTTATTCTATGATTTCTGATTTCTGTATGTAAAATGTGCTCTAAGCTGACAGTCTTTTTTCAGTCCTTTCCTGGTATTGTGCTAGGATACTTTGTCTAAAACTTCCCTTGTGCTCAAGCCTCTTTTTCTCATTTTTCAAATTAGAATCCAACGCAGTTTCTTTAACTATTCTCTGTGCTAGATTCTAGTAATGACTTGATCCTAATAACAAATATCTTCTTTTGTTATGTGATTTACTTTTTTGAAATTAATCACAAATAGTAGTGGGTGGTTTGTTTTTGTAGCTCTCAAGAGAACATTAAATTCAAACTCATTATGCAAATTTTACAGAGTAGCTGTTTGGCAGAAGTATTCAGCATCACAATCAACTTCAGAATACTGAATCTTTCAGATGCAGAGTGGTCACTTCCTTTTGAGGTCTCAGACTAGCCAAAGACTGTAGGTCACGTTATCATTTCTGCCCCTCATTTTCTTGCCAGACAACATTTAGTAAGGCACAGGCACACAGCGTGATAGAGAACAGTTGCAAGAGCATCTGCCACCACGAGAATTGTTTTTGAACTCTGACTGGAATCAGATTAAGAAAATAACAGCAATTCATCAGAGATGATTGTTTATTATTATGAATTTCACTATGCTCCCATAGAAATTTGTTTTTGGAGTCCAGAAAACACTTAGCTTGTATATCTAAATCAAACCATTGGGAAAGATTTCAGGAAAGTGGAATGGAACTTACACCTTCATAGCCATGCATATAGCCTCACAAAAGCACATAGGCTGTGCTTTTTCTCCAAATCTCTGTATAAACAAACATATCTTTTTACATTTAAAGAATGTTGTTCTTATCTCCCTCTTCAACAGCTTAAGATGTTAGAGAAGCAAAATGCATGGGTAGTTCTGGATGGACTTACACATCTACCTTTTTATATCAAAACCATCATCACATTTTCACTGAAACGGTTAACAAGAACTGATGAAATATGGCCTATGCTTGTGACATGAGCCTCAGTAAAGCAGGTAAACATAGATTGCCTGATCTATCTAATCTATGTGTGTGGCTTTACTGTAAAGTTAATTTTTTACTATACTACATACACAAGTATACATAATTTTATAAAATTAGTGTGACAAAAAAGGTGGTCTTTTTAGGAGTTGTTCATAAATGTTTGCTTATTACCTTCAAGATCACGTACTTTCTCTGATCGCGGGTGTCCGTATCTACATATTTCACTAATATAAGGTCCACTCATCAGCTTTCTCACGATACTTTGTTGAAGGAATCATGCAGCTCCCTGAAGTCATCGTCCTTGGAGGTGTTCAGGAAATGTGTACGTGTGGTACTTAGGGACATGGTTTAATGGGTAATATTGGTTATAAGTGGACAGTTGGATCAGATGATCTTAGAGGTCTTTTTCCAGTCTGTATCATTGGAAATAAGATTTAGGATTATTCTTAAGCCATATAATACAACATTGTGCAGCGTGCAGTTAACCAAGCCTGCCTTCAGTGTGATTCAACAGAGAAGCTCCCAACTTGTTGTTCCACAGAAGCACGATAGTTTTCATTCCACGCTTGGGAGAACATCATGTGAGAGATTTGGCTAAATAAAATCCAGACCCAGGTTTGTCAGAATGTCCCTATACAACAAGGGATCATCTGTTGGACAGTTCTTTCAGGGCACCGAGCAATACTACATTACTGTCTAAGTCAAGCCTAAACAATCAACTTCAGTCACTGTATACCTTAGTTACACAATGATAATTCTGTCCTTCAAATTACCTGACAGCTTTTTTTTTTTTCCTTCCTGATTTCAGAAAGGTCATTTTCCTTGCGTTAGGACCTTTGGAAGGATGTCTTTTTGACACAGCGCAGTAAGCATAAGTAGGGCCTTTTAATTTCCTGTTGAAAACGTCAGAGGACAAAAAATCTATAAATGGGCTAACGTATACAGAAAATGCAGTTAGGGTTAGCCAGCATGATATCGTTTTCACCTTTAGCACTTAAGTGCTAAAGCAGTGCCTTTCTTGAACCAGTATAACCAGGCCAATATTTACACAGTAAATGCCACTCATGCCAGTACGGCATCACCTCCATCGTAAGCTTAGCACCTGGGCGTGACAGCAGTTCCCTTCTGAAGTAAGAATCCAGAGTTACAGCGTTGTAAATTCAGGCCAAGAGCCATTTCCTAGCTTTATTCGATGGAGAAGTGCGGCTGAGGCGGGGGGGGGGGGGGAACGGAAGCCACGCTCGCGGGGGCCACATCGCCTCCCGCGCCCACTACCGCGTCACGCTGCGCCAAGGCCCCCGCTCCCCCAGCGACGCGGTGCCGGCCCGCGGGGACGCAGCCCCGTGCCTGCAGAGCCCCGCCGACCGCCGGGGGCAGCCGAGAGCGCTCCGCCCGGCCCAGCGCGGCGACAGCGGAAATGGCGGCGCCCCGCGGCCGCCTCCACCCCTCGGGCGCGTCACGGCGCTGCGCACGCCGGGCTGCCGTCTCCCACCGCGCCTCCCTCCCTCCCTCTATCTTTTCCTCCTCCCTCCCGCCGGGCCGCGGCTCCTCCCTGCGCTACCCGCGGCACGGCACCCGGCGGCGGCAGCTTCGTCCGCATCGAGCATCAGCGGGCACCGCGCGTCTTCGCCCTCCCTCTTTCCCTTCATCTGTCCTCCCGCGGCCATGGAGCTGCCCGAGAGCCAGTGCAAGAAAGCGAAGCTGAGCAACAGGGTGCCGAGCTGGGTGAGCGAGCGGGCGGGCGGGCAGGTGGGCGTGCGGAGGAGCGGAGAGCAGAGGGGAGGGGGAAGAGGGCGAAGCGGCCAAGGCTCTGAGGTGATGTGGCGGCCGGCCTGGGTGCTGCCCTGCCCCGCAGCGGGAGGGATGGAGAGAGCCGCGCGCGAGCCGGGACCGTTACCGGAGCGGCAGCGCGCTCCCTCAGGCGGCGTCGCCGCGGTCCACCCTGGAGGCACCGTCCTGCCCCGGGCCTCCTGTGGGGAAGGGCTGGGGGCTTCGTCCCCGCTGCTTTCGCCGCCAGCACTCTTCTTCCAGCGGTGTGGCGGAAGGCAGAGTCAAGAAGGCGATGCACAATGTGGGCATTCACACAGCTAGGGTGGCCAGGACTGAGGTTCTTTGTATGCTGGGTGTTCTGTGGAAAACTGTCGAGACAGGGCTTAGAAAAAACTTAACCAAAGCCTTCATTCTTGTCCGCGAGGAGGAGGGAGATTGGCTTACAGCTCAGACCAGAATGAAGCTATTTAGCGGGCATGTTGCAGGCCTTCACGGGGCATATTTGATACTTCTGGTGATGTGAGGCAAGTGAGAGAGAAAAAATAGAGAGATAGATGTGTGATTATTTTCAAAGTACGCTGAGCTGAAGCGGACAAGAGAGAAGGTCTGGAAGTTATTTGGTATGGCAGCAGCATTGCAGAGCTGTCGCTGATGCTTGCTGCGAGCAGAACAGGCCCCAGCTTTCTACTAAAAGAATAAGAAATCGTCATCGCTGTCCTGGAAAAATGAGGAAGCTGTTTCTGTACTATGAGCGGTTCAGTAGGTGCTGTGCCATTCCGGTCCTCCTCTGTTGGTTGCGAGTTCCAACTTGTTTACATAACAGACTAATGGGTAAATGACATTCTTCTAGCTTCTGTGAGGAAAAGTTGAAATCAAATGTTATCATGAAGACAGTAAAATGAATCCTTTCTGGGTGGCGGCAACGAAGTTTATTCTAAAGTTACACGACATCATTTAATTTGAACTAAATGAAGCAGAATTGTGATGGATTTGCTCAAAGCAGGGAGATTGTACTAAAAAAAGTTAATTAACGTTAGCTGTTTGCTGAGTTCATCGAATGTCAGCGAGGGCCAAAAGATACGTGGCAAGCAGAGGAAGTCTTCCGCCTCTTCCTTTTTCTTCAGAAGGCCTCAGCTGAAGTGCTCCCTTAAATCCAATATGATTTGCTGGAAAAAAAATATCCTGATTCATGCATTCTGCAAATATTCAAATGTTCTGGCACTTCTGGCTGCATCTGTTCCTTGGAGAATGAGGTCAATGGCAGCTTCTGATGTCCCATTGGGACCGGCAGCCCTTAGGAGAACAGGCAGAGCTGTGTCGTCCTGACTTTGTCTGGGCATCTGGTGCTCTTCGGAATGCCCCTCCATCTGGGTAAACTCCTGCGTGTGTTCATGGACTCGCCAGACCTACCTCTGAGTGCAGCGTACTCAGAGCTACAGAGCAGCACACAACACAGTACAATGTCAGTATTTGTGGCTCGCTCGGTTGGAAAACTTGTGTAATGCTTTCCTTAGTACAGCTTCAAGCCCTGCAGTGTTAGGAATTACCTGCAAAATGAGGCAGTGAGAATTTTCTCCAGTATTTGTTTCTGGCTGAGGCATTTCTGCAGTTAGTACTTCATTCTGATTAGTTCCTTCTGCCAGGTAATGACTGGATTCAACACTGGTTGGTCACAGCAGCTGACGAGTAAAGATAAACTCGTTTGTTATCTGGTTGTCACAAAGTTGCTTGTATCTGCAGTGCTTTAAAATGTTCTGCTTGCTTTCTGTCACAGTGATTTTTGAAACCACCGCAGCGTTCAGACTCCTGACAAAGGCAGCCTTGTGTGAGTCTGGTCTGTGTAGGTGGCAGGGGTGCGTGCGTTTGGCTGATTGGGTGGCAATGTACTAGGGTACATACTTTGGTACATACTGTATCAGCATCACTGTACTGAAACATGTTCCAGCGAGCAGGTATCAAGCTAAAAGTAAGATTTTTTGCTGTAAATCTTAGTGGGAGAAAATGTAATGCTGTAGGCTATGGCAGAATATGGATTGGTGCTTTTTAAGTTTCTGAATAATGGTAAAGATCTTAGCATTTGGCTGTCACTTCTAGACTCACCCTTCATTCCAAAGCACAAATTTTCAAACCTGAATTTGAAAAGGTAGTTTTGGAAGGCGTTCTTGGCAGATCTTTTAGCCAACAGCTCTTCATACCTCATCTGAAGAGTTGAGCAGACAGACTGTCGGCTGTAGTGCATTTGTTGTAGCACACGTGGTATTACAGTATTGCTAAGTTGTTTCTGTGCAGACAGGGAAGATGGGAAATGTTCTGTGTGTTTAAGTTGCTGTTTGGCTATTGAAGAGAACAGGTTGGAAGAAAAAAGAAACATACAATTTGAGTATAAATGTCATACAAATATATTGTTATCAGGATATCCCTGTCTTGCAAGGAACGGGTGGTGAACAAGTAAGCAAATGGCCTAGAAATTGTCTGGAATTGTTGGGAAGTGGGGAAGGCATTGAAGATAAGACTACTCTAGGGAGAAGGTGGTGGATGTGTTTGCTGTTGTTAGCTTGTGCAAATTTTTAGCATAGGGTATTCACACTCTGTTCTTAATGGAGTTAGTCCAAGCTTCTTGAATATAAATGATTTGTTTAGAAACTTCACCTGTTCTGTACATGGTGCTTTCCTGACACTTCCAGCCTCAAAGCTGACTGTCGGGTTGGTTCTGTAGCTTGGGAAATCTCTACTTGACATTGGAAACTTTGCTTCTTAACCCAGAGGCCTTGTTTTTGTGAGAAATTAATATTTGCTACCAGGTTCCTGTTGAAGCACAGTGCAGTTTTTTATTTTAATTCTCCTTTTTTTTTTCCTTTCTTTTTTTTTTTCCATCTTTTATGCAAAAGTATAAGCTTATGATGGCACTTCAGATTTCATGTGAGAAACAAACCAGTGTAGTGAGGGGAGGGAAGAAGGGGAAAGGATGTCGTGCTTCTTGTCTGACATTACAGTTATAATGTAACAGGGGACTGAAGCTATTGTTATTTAACATGGGGAACAGGGAGTGTTTTTAAAAGCAGTATGGAAGCACTTGATCTGTAACATGGGGAGAAAGAATTTTGTGGGCAAATCAAGAGATTAAATTACCAGTGGGTGGGAAAAAAGAGGTAAGTAGCCTTTGAGATTGATGCCCTTTTTTCTTTACAAAAAGAAAAAAATAACCAAAGCAAAACCCAAACTGTCGAGTGTATCTTTTCAGTAGAGATTATTATAAGGACTGTAATTAGGCTAGAAGGTTTAAATTAGCTTTTTTTTTTTTTTTTTTTTTTGAAGAAGAAAAGTTCTTGTCATAACATTGATATTACATAAATATTTTTTTTGTTACTCATTTTAATATGCCTCATTTCCTTTAACATCCATTTTAGGGTTCTCCAAGGTAAACAGTGCTTTGCTGGAGGATAAAATGAAATGATTGTTCTTTTTCTCTGCTGTCGTTTTGGATGACCATTAAATTTCACTAATCGATACTTATCAAATTTTAAGTACAGGAATTTGAAAACTGGCAAAGTAACTTAAGAGCACAACCAATCAGCCACTGATTTCTGCTCCTAAGTACTCTTCTGTGCCACAGCAGTGTTTGTAGTAAGTGTGTGCGTCAGTAATTAATTGTCAGTGATCGATTGCTCAGCTTTTGCTGCTCAGTGTTGGTAGTGGATGACCTAGTAGGAAAGTAGACGTGATTAGAAAACATTGCTATTTTTTTCAGCAACGAGAATAACTTGCTAGATTTTAACACTCCCTTGCGCTTCCATAGGAAGCTCTTTTCTGTTGGAAGTTAAGGAGGATTTTGCCACTGAGCTGCCTAGTTGGTGCGCATGTGTGTGCACCCGTCCTGCTGGGCGTGGGTGTGTCTCTGAATGTGTGCAAACTATTTGGGCATTTTAGTTTTCAGATGCCTGTTTCGGAGGTATTAATGCAGGTGTATTTTTGTCCCACTGAGCTTGCTGACTGTTCTACTGCACTTGTGTGCCTTTTTGTTTTAGCAGTCTTTTGGCCTTTTCGTTGCTGTGATTTGTCTTATTTGCTAATTCCTTGCTTGATGTCTTTTTTTTTTTTTTGTATTTTCTTTTTAAATTTATGTCCTTCTTATCATTTTAAAAATTACCTCTGCCTGCTTCTTCAGGGTTTTGTATGTTTTCTAAGTACAAGGCTAGTAAACTACCTGGATCAGTTTTGCTGCTGCTTTGCTAGTTCTGGAAAACAAAACGAAACAGAAACCCTCATGTAATTCACTGAATGCAGTCTGGAAGAAGTCTTGTTGTGTGGCACATTTAACCTCCAAAGTATTTATGCTGATAACTGAGCCCATGCTATTGTTGAAAGCAAAGCATGGGTGTGTTTTTTTAGATATATATATATATTTAAGGGTGGGAGATTTTTATAGAAATTCTTTATTTTTGGAAATTCTTTAAGTACAAATAACAAAGCAGTTGTGTTAGGCAAACCAAGATACCTCATGTTTGAAACTGGAGGAAATGTTACTTGTTATGAACATCTACTGCAGCTCGTCTGAGACAGTAGCAGGGGAGCTGTGTTTTGGGACTATACAGTATGGTAATGCTTGACTAAATGAGAGAGAATGTTCCTAGTAACCTATTAGTTTGGACTGATGTGTGCATTCATTGTCCACAGTGTATCTTTCCTTTTAACTAAAGACAAAGTCCTTAAACAGTTTTCATTATTTTTGGTTCCACAGTTTGTGTCTACTCAGAGCTCTCTAATTTTAGGTAGTACATCGTTGTTTCTATTACAAGAAGAAAGACTTGTTCTCTTTTTTTTTTGACTTTTGTTTGACTTTTAGTTTTAGTTAGCTTTGTTGCACTGACTTTATCTTCAAAACAGCTTTGCAAGTAGGAGATAATTTGTTTGAAGATAATGCAGTTGGCAAATAGTGTTGTTCTATGTGGCTTTACCATGTGCAGGTGGTGGTTTCTTATGGATTGTTACTCAGTCTTCCTCTAATTTTAGATGCTGACTGTCACTGCTGAGTTACAGAGTTGTTTTATTTAAAAATCTGAACATCTGTTCCTACCTTGAGTTTCTTTAACAGCTATGAGCCCAGCTGTGCAGGGACAGGCACAACCACTCCAATAAATATGATTCTGTTACGTTCTACTAATAAGCTGAACTTTGAAAAACTGTTCTAAAGAATGATGCAACGATATTTCTTGAAGTCATAAGTAGATACCGTATTTCTGTTAACCCTATTTTGTGATGGCTCTAAAGCTATGAACAGCCCTCTGCTAGTACTCTGTTGATTGATATCCTACCTCATTTTTTTTTTCATTGTCATCTTTTCCAGCTAGCATTGATATAATGATGGAAAAGAAGATAATGCAAATGTTTTGCAATATGTTTGTACGCAAGAGAAGTCAAAACAACATTATGTAAGCGAACAGTCCCACCCTCAGCATGTTCTTGAAGCTTTCATTTCTGTTTGTTAGGTTGTTTGTTCTGGGTCTGGTTATCTAAGATCTTGATCTTGTACGAACAAAGTTCTTGTAACCAGGTACCAGCAAAGCTCAAGGGAATGCTGAGGCTGATTTTCCTGTTCCTTTGGCTTATACTAAGAAAGGTGCTTGACAACATTGTCATCTTGCGTAAGATGATGCAGCAGCTTGTTGTGATGACTAGATAGTTTTAAGAAAGTCTTTGACCAGATTTGTTATGAGAGAATTTTGTCAGAAAATCAATTTTGTAAGTAAGTTCTTCAAAAAATCATTCAGAAACATTATTTGATATAGATTCAGAATATACAGCAACTATCTCAGATAGGTCACTCTGAAAGTAAGGTCTTGTATTTATTTCCGTGGAACTACAACAGACAGAACTCAATAACACCACTTGATAGCATGAATGCTCAGCTACAGAAACACTATTTTCAACATAGTCACCACCATTAGCTATGCATTTTCACTAGCAATGAAAAAGAGTGTGCATGCTGTGCTTGTAAAAAAAATTTGCCTGGCTAACTGGAACATGGCTTGTCTGTCACATCACTGTTGCCACTGCTGAAATGCCTCTCTGTGCTCACATCCAGTGTTGTGTCTCCATAAACATTCAACAAGTGTAGATGAATGTCAATGGATGCCATTTTTTCCCCAAGGAGGGATTCAGCTCCACACCTTTGCTTCACACACACTTCCATGTCAGACACTATTTTGTCAGACCGCCTCTCTGCTGCCATCTGTCACACAGCAACAGCGTGCAAAGGAATATTGGTGGCAGGGTTCAACCTTTGCTGCTGTACCATCCATGCATCCTGGGGCAATGTAATAAAATAGGAGGCATTACCTTCAGAGCGGCCCTCATAATTTTGGAGACTTAAGATCTGGGTAAAGGCAAAGTGGTTCAGAGATGTGACTGCTGATCTGAAAGGTGGATCGCATGTGTAGTTAGCAGTGAAAATGTGTCTCTTTGTGAGTTGGAAGTGAGCTTAATGTTTGTCTGTTTATGACAGGAGCCTTAATTTCTGTGAGAGGAATCCGCTTGATCTTCTTATATTTAAATGACTTGAGTAGGATTCAAATATAGCAGTTCATCTCTCTTTGGTTAATTTTCTGAAACCAGCGCATTTGAAAACAGTAACTGACTAGTCTGGTAACCCCAGGTTTCAGGGAAGAAGCACAAAGTATGTGGTTTTCTGTGGGTGACTTTTGTAACTTCCTTTCATCCTTTGAATTGCTGCAGCAGATGGATTAGGTATTGTTTTTACCTCCACTGGCAGGTCTCTAAGTCTTTCTTTGTGCCTGTGAATAAGAGTTAATATGCTGTGCCAGCTTACCTTTTTAGAAGTTGAAGATCTAATCAACTACTATTTCTACAGGGAATGCAGAGGGCAACCAATGTTACCTACCAAGCTCATCATGTCAGCCGAAATAAGAGAGGCCAAGTGGTAGGAACAAGAAGTGGTTTCCGTGGATGCACAGTCTGGTTAACAGGTACACTTATGGAATTCTGAGGCTCCTTGTGTTTTGTTTTAATTTTTCTTCTGGAAAGCTGTTTAGCTGTAGCTTCTATTTTCATCCAAAGTTGAATGTGGCACCTGAGCCCTTGATGGTGTTTTATTATTATTTTTAGGCCGACTGTCAAGAAACTGCTCTGGGACAGTAACTTGAGAGTCCATCTTGTTTGGTTTACTTAGCCTTGTCCTTTGCTTAATTCTAGTTCTTGGACCATCTTGCTTCCTCTTGTGATTTATGAATTTTTAAAAAATCCGTTCTGCCTCATCCTACTTCCCATTTCACCTATTAATATATGATACTTTTTCTTTTAAGAGTTTATGTTGCTCAGTCACTTCTGTAAAGATTTCCTCTTTTTATATTCTTCTTATCTCTTTGGGTTGAAACAGCACTTTAACATGAACCTTTGCCTATTAATGGCAATTGCATGTTGATGCAATGCATATAATGAGCTATTTTAGCGTAGTCTTTTTCCACTGAATTGTTTTGATTGTAAAAAGAAGGGGAGAGTGAATTCTGGAAGATGGCTTTGTTTTGTAAGCATCATTTATTTAGATTTCTCTGAAGCACTGACAGACTAATGTGTCGTGTTTTTTGTGTTTTTTTTTTTTTGAAGTTTTTTTGTGTATGTGATATCTGTGGCGCTGTTACTCTGCAAGGAGTGTGGTATGGTCCCTTTCTGTTGACTGAAATTCACTTGATTGTGAGATCTTCCTTTTCTGATGTAAATGTGACATATCCTCAACTTCATTTTGGGTTTCTGAATTTAGTTTGCTCAGGTAGAAACAACTGTCAGCAACGGGAAATAGGTACTACCTCTAGCTGTAAAGGCCAAACTCTTAATTTCAAGTGGCATGCTTAGCTTTGTGTATTATTCTCCCTATATCTCTTGTCTGTATTAGGCACTTAGCTTTTGTTGCAGGTAAGTATCTTCAAAGGCCAGAAGCATGCATTGTTGCCGTTACTTTATTGGGCTTTTCACACCAGCAGTGTACATGCTCTGCAATTTGCCCTAATTTGTTTCTGTGCTTATGATATATAATGATATTCAATATTTTAGGTCTCTCTGGTGCTGGGAAGACCACAGTTAGCATGGCCCTGGAAGAATATTTAGTATGCCATGGCATTCCATGCTACACATTGGATGGTGACAACATTCGCCAAGGCCTTAATAAGAATCTGGGTTTCACACCAGAAGATAGAGAAGAAAATGTCCGCCGGATTGCTGAGGTTGCTAAACTGTTTGCAGATGCTGGTTTGGTGTGCATCACTAGTTTCATCTCTCCTTATGCTCAGGTAAATGCGAAAACCTTCTAGATATTGTGAAGAAAGCAAAATGCAAAACGTCACTCAGAATTTAAGTTTTAGGAGTTCCTCACTGAATTTAGCCAGGATGAAATGCCTCCTTTTTTTCTTCTAAAATGACACTTCTACTTTCTAGAGACAATGACTCAAAAGTGTTAAGCACCAAACTAAAACATAAAAATGTTTAGATTACTCCTAAAACTGGAACAGTTCTTCAGTTTACCAGGTAGAATTATTAATTTAGCATTAGGAATAAAAGCAAAAGATACTACAAGAAATTGTCCAAAATTACAATATTTTGTTTGATCCACTTAAGTGCCAGTACTTTATAAATGTGAAGACTTGGTATACACTTCACCTAAATCCTCAGTTTAACTGTTTTTTAAAAGCAGCTCTTCTCCAGTGAATTGATGGTAGGAACTCTATTTTACCAAGTCAAGTAAAAAGCATGTGATTGCTCTTAGTTCTTCTTTAGTTCAACAGGACATTAGCTAATCTGCAGATTAGCTTAAATCGGCAGAGACAAGTAGAACGCATGAATGCAAAGTCTCTTGAAGAACAACCTGATGGCTGTAGCTCCTAACATGAGAAGATGTTATGTCTTTGGTCATAGTAAAGAACAAACAATTCTTTTGATAATTACTTGTGGAACTTGAGATCCTGCAGTAAGACTTAACATGGCTATTTTTTTTTTTCTAATGACTTTTATGAAAGGTGGTTTTAATAGATTTTTGGAAAGGTTTTTTTGTTATTTTATTGAATTCATATATGAAATTCACTAATTGTTTCAACGATAGTAAGCCATGCAAATAAAGTATTTGGAGTGTACAAGTCTGTCCGATAAGTGAATGTGCAGAAATCTGGTGATCTGGAGAGAAGGTTGATTGTAACAGGAGCTGCAGGTAATATTTGCTCTGGCTTTACTACCTGAGGTAGATGCAACTCTCAGGATTGGCACTGTTAGTACTGGAACAGGTATAGATAATTATGTATTCTGTGGCTGTCTATAAAAGCCAAAACTGGTTCATGTAAAACCTCTCTCATCTTCTTGTCAACTGTTAACATGTGAAGAACTGTAGAAAAGCTAATGTAGCTGTCAGAGCTACATTTTAGTTCTTTTTCTTCAAACTTGCTTACATTTTACTATCAGTATCTTTAAAATGAAGTTCATAAGCAGAAAGGCAATACAGATATTATATGGGTGCAATCTTTGTTATTTCTTTTCCCTTTTTCTTTCAGGATCGTAATAATGCTAGACGAATTCATGAAGGGGCCAGTCTGCCTTTTTTTGAAGTATTTGTGGATGCTCCTTTGCATGTCTGTGAACAAAGAGATGTTAAGGGACTGTATAAGAAAGCCAGAGCTGGAGAAATTAAAGGTAAACCTAGATTTGTTTCTTCCTTCCTACGTAAGTGACATGTTGTGATTGGACTACACATAAGTGACCGTACTAAAATCTGTGAATCTGAAGCAGAACCAGGTAAACTGGGGATAGGATTGAGCAGGAAATTGTGATTAACTTCCAGCTGGGAGAGCTGACTGCTTTAAATGCAAAATACAATAACAGAACAAAAATGTCTATCCTCACATAGAAAACATATAATTTGCTCCAGGTTTTCATTTGCAGACTCTCAGAATTAAAGATTAGTCTATCTTCTTTCTGTGTCCAATGACTAGTTAAAAAAGAGCCTGATTCTCTGAGTCCATAAAAAATGGTATTAGTAAGAATTACTGTCTTCTCCTCCCAAAAAGTAAAGTGTAGTCACCATCCCTCTGTAAAGATTCTTCACTGAGAATGCATCTGAAGAGAATAACTTCTATTTTGATGTTAGGGTATTGTACTAGTGCCCATGAATATGATTTTAAGTCCCTCACACTCGAGTGAAGATTGCTTTGCCACTGGGCTTAATTTTTTTTTTTTTTTTTTTGGTGCTGCTAATTTATACATGGTTTTTAGAATCTCCTGTTTCAAAGCAGATTTCTAGGAGGTGTTGTGAATTGCTTACATGGTCTGTGAAAACAGTCCTTACAACCACAAGAGTTAGATATCTATCTTATTCTATCTAGCTATCTTAAGATGGGTATGTTAGCTGCAAACTAATGCAATAGATGATTGAATTCCCTACTCTGCAAGGTATTGCTTGTGTGAATTAAAATATATACTTGTTGAAAATCAGACCCTTTTTTTTAAAAAAAAAACAAAAAAAAAACAACACCTAAAACCTACCTTAAAAAAAAAAAAGTAAAAAGAAATCACAACTAGTAGTGACAGACAGTTGATGAATGTGTTGAAGTGCACAGTTTTTCATCAGTGCTACCATTTTATTCACAGTGTAAATTGGATATCACAGAATCACAGAATGGCCAGGGTTGGAAGGGACCTCAAGGATCATGAATCTCTAACCCCCCTGCCACATGCAGGGCCACCAACCTCCACGTTTAATACTAGACCAGGCTGCCCAGGGCCCCATCCAATTTGGCCTTGAAGACCTCTAGGGATGGGGCATCCACAACCTCTCTGGGCAGCCTGTTTCAGCACCTCACCACTCCCTCTACAAAGAACTTCCCCCTGACATCCAACCTAAATCTCCCTCAACTTAAAACCATTTCCCCTTGTCCTGCTGTTACCTACACTTTCAAAGTGTTGATTCCCCTCCTGTTTGTAGGTTCCCTTTAGGTACTGGTAGGCAATGAGGTCACCCCGCAACCTTCTTTTCTCCAGGCTGAACGAGCCCAGCTCCCTCAGCCTGTCTTTGTAGGGGAGGTGCTCCCGTCCCCTGTTCATTTTTGTGGCTCTCCTCTGGACCCTCTCCAACAGCTCTTTGTTCTTCTTGTACTTTTCTTGATCTCTTGAATATCAACAGACATACAATTTGCCTGCTGCAGAATGCTGAATTTAGATGCAGTCATGTGGTAGGGATTAGCAAATGGCTCAATAAAGAAAAAAGCAGTTGGTTTCCCAATGAAATCATTTCTTAATAAAGTTAAAACTTTGTGCTCTTGCCTGGCTTATGTCAAGGAAGCTGCTACGTGAACAGTGTTAAAGTGCAGTCATCTTTCTGAAGAAATCATTTAAGATCTTTGTCTTCTGTTTTGTAGGCTTTACTGGGATTGACTCTGAGTATGAAAAACCAGAAGCCCCAGAGCTTGTGCTGAAAACTGATTCCTGTGATGTGAATGATTGTGTACAACAAGTTGTGGAACTTCTTCAAGAGAGGGTGAGCAGCAATGCAGGTGTATCTTAGTAACTTTTTCAAAGCATGAGGTCTGAATACGCATGCTGAAAAATGCAGATGAAATTTTTGAGTTAGACTTCCACATTTTTAAGTTCTAACTTTTAAAATTGTCCTGCTGTGTGTTACTTTTTCTGACCTAAGTCTTGCAACAACAGTGATCACCAAGTGAAATAAACTCTGGAGAAGTAGAGGACTATATTAATTGCCAAAAATGCTTGCTTAAGGGAGAATATGGAAACACTGGTGAATGCTAACTTTTAAATTTTTTGCTAGCATAGGAGAATTATAGAAGGATAAGAGGGTAATAACTTAAGGTAACTGCAAATTCAGTTGTCTGCCTTTGATTTGCCAGACCTTTTGCCTTCCTATCACTTTGATAGGATGAAGTTTGCTTCAGTATTTACGTAGGATTAATTTGTCTCCTTATATTCTTATTTGTTGTGAGTAGCAAGATGACACTTCAGTCTGTGATTTTAGTTTAGATCCTCCAACAGACTGTTCCTCTTGTTTTTTGTGAGGTGGATGTTTGGGACATTTAAGGTATAGGCAATAGCTTGAGTAATGCTCCACTAAGAAAAAAAGACCTCATTATATAGACAGCATTGAGTTCATTTTAGTCTACTGTTGCCAGTACAGCTTTGGAGACATTTAGTTCCTGTTTTCAAATTTTCAAGAAAATGCTGTTAACAGTTCACTGCTTGATAAATATTGCTTGGGAGATCTGGCAGGACAACAAGCCACAACAGAGTGCTAGACAGGTGCAGATGTACCCTAGTGCTCATCTGAATACTTTTTGGAGGGAATAAGGAAAGAGCTGCCTGAGTCCTACTATAGGGGGTGGCACTTCCTGGTTGTGAGAGGCCCTGAGCCTCCTGTTCAGAAGACCAATCCAGTACATTTCATAATTCTATAAACCAGTGTGCTAACATAGTGATCCCCAGACTCTTGCACTGGTACATTTGGTGCACAATAGTGAATGCTGGCTTCTGGCCCAGTCAGCTTGGCTCTATCCTTTGCTTAAAGCACATTTTAGTATTTTATTTTCTTTCTAGAGAATGGTGCCATGAATAGAAACATGTCTTGGTGGTTGGTTACTTCAATAAGACGTTGAAACCAAGGCATGGCTGAACAGTTACATCTTGTTCTCAGGCCATATATAACCCAATGGTACCCTGACAATATAATTTCGGTAGGGTTTTTTGAAGTTGCAAACAGTGGTTATGGTTTTAAACAATTCACTATGGTTAGTTAGGAAAAGGGTTGTAAACCAGCAGCATTAAAAATCATCTGGGATGTTTGTAGCTGAGAAAAACATGGTTCAGAAGTCCACTCAGTGTTGGTAATACTGGAATTTCAACAGCTGAAACGCAGCTGTACTGTATGTGTGTGTTGAGCTAGACAGATGGATGTACACAGATATATATTGAGAATTTGGAATATTTTTATTTCATAGGAAATGGAATGACTTAGTTCTTAAAAGTTTCCCATAATACTTGCAAAGAACTCTAACAAATTTACCCAGTATTCACCAGAAATGTGTTTCTTCCCTTAGGGACGAAAAGGGAGGTAACCACATGAGGACTAATAAGCAGCTGTTGAATCTGGGAAGTTACTGTGTGGTGTAAATCAGTTTTGAGGAGCACTTGGATAGGTTTCTTTACATGTAAATGCAATGAATAAAACACTTCAAAGTTCTTTTCAGGGAGTTAGAATGTGAGCTACTGATGAGTATCTCTTAAAGCTACTGAGTCTGAGTCATAACTATTTCCTTTTTTTTCTAACTGCTTTCAGTACTATACAAATAAGTTCTTGCTCAATCCATTTTTTTTTCTTTTTTCTTTTTTTTCAGTCAGAAAGGCATGTGTGGCTTTGGGCTTGATAAATTTGGCTCTTAGTGTGCTGATACCATCCAATGGAGCCAAACAAGCCTTGTGCAGATGTTTGGCTGTAGAGATTTCATTGTTTCCATTTGTTTTTTCCTGTCAACAATTGTAGCTGATCTAGCTCATTAAACAAAGCTAGGATTTTGCAGTAATGAAATCAGTTCAATATTTAACCAGGGAGATATTTTCTCAAGAAGTCACCTCTCAGGAATGCCACCTTTATTATTAAGGAAGTGCAAAAACGTATAAAGCAAGTATTGCATTTCTAGTATGTAACTTTCAACATACTGAGAAAAAGTGTCTTTTAACAACTTTTGTACAAAAGTCCCATTCTTGGGGACATAATGCAGCTCTCCAAATACCACAAAAGCAAACCACAAATTTTGGGAATCCGATTATATACTTCTACTATTTAGATCAATCTGTTGTGAGTATAAACCTTCACTCTTCCTTTTACCACCCATCCCCCAAATTATAGCTAAGAATTTAATTCTTATCCAAGTTCAGGAACTTTCTGTTCTGAGACTGGGTATTACACTTGTTGAAGGGAGGTTCTCCATATGGTCTTTTAAAGCATTGATTTCTTGACTATATTCATACAGTTCTTTACAAGTGTATTCAGAACAAAGTAGAAATGGAGAGTAACAATTCCAGGAAAATACATAGAAATCAATTCTTCTGTTCTGTATAATCTCTTTCTATATATTTTCCTCCATTTATATTACAGCTATCACTGTCACGTAATGATTCTTTTTGGATCAAAGTTCTCTGTCTTATCTAAGTTCCTCATTTATTCATTGATCAAAAATGTAACAAAGAATACTCTGTGTGATTACCTTGGTTATGAAATTGGATTGCAACAGGCCGGAAACCATCTTTCAGTATTTTTTGAGAAACCTACAAACATGCAGATCAGTATTTTTAGTATCTCTAAGGTTTATGTAGGACAGACGTTTCACATCTTCAGCCCAATTCTCAATTAATTGACTATAAAGTATACAGTCAGTAGAGTGTATTTGATACAGCTGATTGTACTCATCTGCTGGCTGCGTTTTACATGCAGCCTTGTTTTCCATCTCCTTTCAAAACTACATCAGTGGAAAATTTGTATGAATACAACTTCTTACTTAATTTTTGAGCATGATGATAATATCAAATACCTACAGCAGTAGGTGACTGAGTGGGACTTTCTGGGTTTTGTAAGACAAATCATGAGGATTTTAAATGATTTATAATTGTGCAAATAAGTTTTTTTTCCCAGTTGCTCTTGCAATGAAGAGGGCCAGTAGCAAACTTGGCTATGCTTTTGCTAGGTGGTTAGAACAAGTGACCCTGAGAGTTTGTGGACACTTTAAATATCTTTGCAGATATTTAAAACTTGGTTGACCAAGCTTCTGAGCAGCCTCTTGTAATTGGTTTAGTTTTGAGCAGGAAACTGGACTAGGTGACCTGCAGAGGTCCCTGTGTGATTCTGTGCTAAGGCTAGTAGTTATTTTGTGTGAGAATGGAAAAAGCCATGCCCAGTGTTAACAATATACAAGGCTGTACTAGTAGTTTTATACTGCTGCAGTGAACACATATTTATTGTTATATCCACAGTGAGCAGAAAATGACTTCAGCTTTAGGTTTAATTAAAAAAAAAACCACCCACCTCAGTATTCAACTTCAGTAATTCCTGCATCAATAAAAGATTGATTTCTTCTCATGCTTAGGGAAGTAAGCACAACCTTCTGTAAGTTATGGATTTCTTACTATGGGGGTAGGTGTACTTTGGTTATTACTATTTTCCATTGGAAATATAGCACAGAGTGATATTACTGAAATGGATTTCAGCAGCTCCAGGTGTGTTTTCTTTGTTTTGAAATAGCATGTATAATTTTGTGGTTATTATTAAAAAATGAAGCTTCAGTTATGTTGAATTGTGTAATTAGATACAGCAATGGTGTCATTTTTGTTGCTGCTAAATTACTTCTGCTTTCTTTGTTTTTTCCTGTATTCTGGGAAAAGGGAGTGGCAATTTTTTGGTTCACAGTCTTTGTATGCTTCAGAGAGTCCCTTTGGAAGGTAATCGTCTAGTTGGATTTCCTGACTACTTGGCTTATATGAGTATTTCCTCAATGTTTTGGGGTCTAAAAGTTTTGTCTTAGTTAAGGTGTTCTATATAAGCTAAACATGGCTTATTTTGACCAAAACAAATGTGTAAAAAGCATAGTCAGGACAGAAATAGCAGTGAATTTCTGAGGTCCGAAATTTCTCTTTTAGACACAAGGAGGGGTGCTTTTGTAGCTCAAGTAAACTGAAAGTGTATCAGAGATGGGAACAAAACAGGTGTTAGTACAGGAAATCTTAGTTCCCTTTCGTAAGATTGCAACTGTCACTGCACTTTTTATTCTTTCCTGTGTTTAATATTCTGATAAACCTCCCTGCAAGTTCTAGATAGCAGTAATTGTGTGAAACAGTGATAATGGTTAAGCAAATAGTTCTGTTTCTTTCTTTATGTAAACCATTTAGTGGCCTCACCTATCAGTCAGTACAAACTTACATCACTGAATGACTGGTCTTATAAATCAGCTGATATTTGTGAATGTCTACTGGAAACTTGCCTGAAGGCTCTTTTTTTTACAGACTGAGAAGGGCATTGCTATTGGCAAAGAACTGTCACGTCAGTCTGTGATGTCAGTGACCATGTTGAAGTGGTCACTAGGTGGCCTACTAGCCTCGTATTTATCTGAAATTCATTCAGTTTAACGACCTATGAGCTTCTCTTGCTGATGTTTTAAGTCAAAAATACTGCTTTAAATGCCATTTTTATGTCTGCTGATGAGTCTAGTCTACAAATCCTCTAGATATTTAGCTCCTATTTAATGTCTTAGCATGCCATAATGTTTGTGTCACTCACTGTAAAACAAACAACAACAACAACAACAACAAAACCATACCACAACCACCAACAAAACATCAAAATCTCACATCTAACCATATAACCTCTTTGGCCATTCCAGTTGAAATACATGTAACCCTAGATTAAAAATATTGTGAAGATGTCTTTGGGTGTTTTCTCTACTTGGGTAGAAATACAAATGCACATGTGGCCATGGCTGTAGTTGTAGTTTTCTACGTAGTGCTTTAGATAATGGTGGTGGGGCTTGAGCTGTTTTACAAGCAGGGTTGAATTGCCTACTCTGGATTTATTGCCTTTTACTGTATCTAGAGCTGCCTTCATGCTGTCTACATCCTCATTGTGAGGCAGAGAGATTGTTCACAGAAAATACATTCTGTAACATTTGTTGCTTCCATTGTTTTACCCACTAGAGGGACACTGAAAGTAGGATAATATTGGAGAAAACTTCTCAGTAGACACATTTATTTAAAGCTTCTGGTGGTTTGTAAAATAAGAACATTATACTGTGGTAAGAAACGAGGGTCCAGAGCAAAATATTCTGTGAAGCTGTGTAATGCGTACCCAGACATTACTCTTTGCTTATAAAATCTGCTATTCTTACCAGCAGGCAGCACTTTTATTTGATTCCGAGCTTACTGCTGTGGAGAGCCTGCAATGGCTCTCTTGGGCTGTAAATCTTCTGCTCAGACAGAGAGAAGACAAGACAGGTTTTACCTCATTTACTATCTAATAAAATCACTGATCAAACAAAGTCTGATTGTAATGGATTCATTTTTTCCTAATACAACACAGTGTCTAAGTGCTAGTTTGTTTTTCTTTTATTTGTCTTTGGAGACAAATAGTTGTAACAGTTTGCTAGTCTCACAGCTCTCTTCACTCATGACTGCAGTCATTTTCTCTCTCTTTCTTCATGCCACTTCCTTTGACTTTCCCTGGAATTGGTGCCTGACATCAGATAAATGCTTGACTAAGTGCTTTAACATTCTTGGGCAAACTTTGTGTTTCTGCAGACACACCTGTTTACTGTGGACTGCAAATACAGGAGTCATTTTTATTTTTCCAATGTATTCTTGTTATAGGTCTGTGTATGCCTTGCTGTATGGGTGAGTCCCTCCCTCTACCCCAGAAAGAGTTACTTCACAGAAGGTTTCAAAAATCTTAAAAACCTGTTTTCAAAAGAACATTTTCTTACTGTTCTCAGAATAATGTTGTTCTACTAAACACCACTGGAGCAATTTGACTGGGTTTTGACATTGGATATCACCTTGTGTCTGGAGACTCTTTGAAGTTTTATCAGGATGACCTTCCTTTCTCTTCCCCTTTTTCCCTTGAAATTGTGTCCTTATCCTTATGAGGGATTTAAAATCTAGATTATCATGAAGTGAGAATATCTTGCTTAAAAACCATAGAGGAAAAATGCTTTTTTTTAATAGTGATATTATGTGGTATTTGGGTTATAATTAGAACACTGATTTTATTTCCCTGGCTGTCAGATAGAACATTCATGTTATACTTATGTATTAATAAATTTCAGTTTTATTTTCATATTAGCACTGTTATATACTTGATTACTTAAGATTTCAGAGACTGAGCATTTATGTTCTTTAGCATGTATAAAAATGTAAACTCTTTCTGCTATGGCTAATGTAAAGGTTAATAAGTCACGAAAACTGCACTTAATTCAGTACTTAAATAATTACTAGGTAAGTGTTTTATAGTGATATGGGTTTTAAAAATACTTCTTGACAGAACGTTTCACTGATGCTACTCAAGCCAGTAGCTTTGCTGGTAATATATACAAATCTTGAGCCAGTGCTCTTAAAAAGTTAATAAAAATTCCTTACTGCACATATTCTTGCTAGAGAGCAGCACAACATAGAATTTTACTTCTTGACTATATATTCGGTGTCCAGGAGGCATTCTTTGCAAACATAAAATTGTGATTATTCCTTTTATACAGGACATCGTACCAGTGGATGCCTCGTATGAGGTGAAAGAGCTTTATGTGCCAGAAAACAAACTGAAGTTGGCTAAAACTGATGCCGAGTCTCTGTTAACCTTGGAAATAAACAAGGTACTGTGTGTTCATTTATCTTCTTACTGAAGCTGACAAAACAGTCTGTGGTTAGACAGAACTATGTATAATCAAAACACCTGTACTAGTTACAGCCTGTAACGTGACACACATTGTCCTTCTTTTCTTGAGGAACATAATAGCATGTTTTCTTTTGTCATTTTTAAGAGAGAGCAATTGACTAATAACTTCGTAAGTATTAGCTGGAATTTCAGATAATGCTACTTAGTTTGTCCTAAGTCTGGAGATTAAAATTTGGTAATTTTTTTTCCCCCTTGTCCATAGACTAAACCATTCTTTGGAAGCATCGTGTGCATAGTTGTTTCTATATGAATTATTAACATATATTTTTTTAATTGCTTACACAATTTTATTTTGAATTGTAGGTACTAACAAGGAGTATTCTCCTTGTTAGTAACCTTCAGGTTAAAGTAGTAACCCTGCATATCAGGCTTGTACAGTTGCAAACATAAGTCTATAAATAGGTGATCAGACCTACTTCATTAGTTTTTGCTTTAACTTTTTTTCTAATTGGAATGAATTCATGCTACGTGTTCTGGCTTCCAGGACAAAAATAACGTGGAGAAGCATGGATCAGTGTAATGCTTTTACTTCAGTTAAATGTGTGATTCTCCAGCTTAGTATTTAATTTGACAGAGCTGCTTCTGACTGTGTTTCTGTTCTTCCTGGTCATCTTTTTATGAAGAACTAGGCCTAAACACAGACACAGATGATTTTTTTCACTGACTTTTGACTTTTTAATGGTTCTACTTTAAAAGTGTACCCTGGCAGCTGAAAAAGCAAGCTGCACTTTGCATTGTGTTTAACGCAGCATAGTCAGCTGGTCGAAAGAGATGATTCTCCTGCTCTGTTTAGTGTTAGTGCAGCCTCACCTTGAATTTCATGTGCAATTCTGGTCTCCACAAACAAAAACAATATTAGGGTTCCTGAAAGCATCCAGAGAAGAGCAGCGAAGCTGGTAACAGGGCTGGAAGGCGTGTCCTTTGAGGAGAGGCTGAGGGTGCTTGGTTGGTCCAGTCTAGAGAAGAGGAGGCTGAGGTGCGACTTCATTTCTCTCTGTACCTTCCTGAGGAAGGGAGACTCTGGGCTCTTCTGCCTGGTAGCTGAGGTCAGGACCTGTAGGAATGACACAAAGCTGTGTTGGTAAGGTTCAGACTATACATTAGGACAGATTGCTTAAACGTGAGGGTGATCAAGCATTGTTACAGGCTTCCTAGAGAGGTGGTTGATACCCTGTGCCTGTTAGTGTTCAGGAGGCATTTGGATAATGCCCTTGATGATATGCTTTAACTTTTTTTTGGCTCTGACCTGGTCAGTTAGTTGCACTTTATGTTCATATGTTCCTTCCAACTAAACTTCTCTGTTCTATTAAAACTTTTAAGTATTTGTATCTGGGACCTAACTAAGCATGTGCAGTGAATGACTTTGAAGTACTGAGACATCATACCAAGCACTAAACTAAGTAGTTTTAAAACTGCTTAGATTTCTAATATATTTTAATAGTTCCTCTCACTGCATCTTACTGAATTTCCTTTCACATGCATCGGTAAAAAACTGTATACTGCTTTGCAGAGGAATAAGTATTTAGGGTCACCATTATTGAGTTTCTGTAGGGTCCCATTCTGAAGCGCTTCTCATCTAGCAAAACCAGCCTTCTCCCTCTCCATTCCTGACTGGTGTTTTTTTTTAGATACCAGCAAGTATATAACATCAGCTAGGGAAGAAAATGTGTGTTTTTATTTGTCTGAACATAAACTAAATGATGTAATAAAACTAGTCATGCTCTTTGCAAGACTTGCACAAGTGGAGTCGGTGGACTTTGTCCTCTGTCAAAGACTCTTGACAAAGTCTTAGTAATGCACATGCAAAAATAATAAAGGCCACACACTAAGTCACAGTGTGACAGTTTAAATGGTAAGGAAGGAAATTCCTGTAAGATGTTGCATCTTAAGCTAAAATAAATGCTCTCCTGAGAGAATTTGTTCTGGATTTTCTCACTACTTTCTGCAATAAAAATCTCCTTACTAATCTGTACTAAGATCAGACCCACTAGTCTTATCTCTCCCTAATTCTGTTTTGTAGTTTTTGTATGTATTACTGTCTTTTTTTTTAAGCTTTTGTTTATCTTGCTTTATTGAGAAATGATACAAATGAAACTCTCTAGTTCTGGTAAGATAAACTTTATCAAATTTTTATAAGTAAAGCTTATTTGTTTTTAACACTATCAAATGTGATCTAGTGTAAGAATTGGAAAGTAGTTATAAACACTGAGGAGCAAGTTGTTATTTTTCTTACTTACAGAGATTTGAAATTCTTTGATTAAGACTATCACACTGAGAAATCTTCCGTTCACATTGCGTTTTATGCTTAAGTCGTCTTCTGTTATGATGAACACCTGACGTCAGTCATTGAGCGACACCTTTTACGTGCTCAATTTCTCTGTTTCTTTACAAGGTGGATATGCAGTGGGTGCAAGTGTTGGCTGAAGGTTGGGCAACACCCCTGAGTGGCTTTATGAGAGAGAGAGAATACCTGCAGTGCCTTCACTTTGACTGTCTCCTTGATGGTAAAATACTTCTATTACTAAATCTGAGCAAGTACTACTTGTAAAATATTATTGATGTTTTGCTTCTTAGCAATGGTGTGGTGAAAATTTCTCAGGTTTGTGCACAATTTGAGATGAGAAGATATAATAGTAAAATCATTACTTTTTAAACTTTTTTATTCTTTTTATTTGTACCATCATGTTTGAAAAATCAACACCTTATCTTTTTGCCTATACAAATTATAATTTATGTTTTTAAATGCTTTCAGTTTGGAAAAGATTTTAAACCTGAAATCAACATTTCTAATTTGTATTGAAGAAATCTGTTTTAGAACTCAGAATTGAAATTCAGTTGCTGTTTAGCTTTGTGCAAAGAATGCAAAAAGGTTTCTTCCCTGATGGTGATGAAGGATGAGACAACAAAGTGACTTGAGTACTGTAGCTCTGTCAGGTATAAAACCAGAATTGAGAAAAGGGCTTGACTGTGGATGATTGTCGCATGAAATTGAATAACTGCCTTAATAACTACCCTGTTTTAACAAATACATTTTATTTTGCATTACCAATAGGCTAACAGAAAACATCAGTTAAAGCAGCTAAGTGATATCATCATCAGATTTAAAATTCAATAGTGATTCTCTTTTATTCCATTTGTTCTTCTTTGAAGATTGTTTTACATCAACTTTTTTGTGTTTTTGCATGCTTTATATGATAAAAGGGATAGTAAGAAGTTCTGTTTCCTTCTGTCACTATTTTCTTTCTGGAAACCAAATGGCAGAAAAAAGCTGCTGCTTGTCTCTGACTTTTTTTTTTTTCTGTTATCCTTTTCACCCAGCTTTGTCATTTTTAACTTCCTGTCATGATTAAGATATGATTAAAAGGTTTTTTTAAAAAAAAATGTATTGCTCAAATAATGAGGAAACCAGCTGTATTTAATCTCACCTCAATTACCACCAATAGCAAAACTATTAAATTCAAGGGGGCCATTACTTTTCACTTGGAGAACACCTAAGAGTTTTGCACTCTTTCTTTTTATGCCTGAACTTATTACACTTTTGCCACTGTTTGATATTTAGTATTTACTCTACTGGTTTCTTGGATCTTACACTTGTAGTCAAGAAAAACAACACTTCTAGGATCTAGCAGTGAAGTAAATGTTTAAAAATGAAGACCATGTAACATTTGAATTCAGATATATTGGGTTATGTTTGGAAATTAGTAGCTAGTAAGCTTACAACTGAATGAACTATGCAAAATATGTGACTCTACAGTTTCTTCTGAGGTAGATACATTCGAGTCTGAATGTAATTTGATGTGAACAGCAAAAGTCACCTTCTGAAATATTTGAATTACGTATGCTAACTACAAAGATGTATTTTGCTGCTTTCATCACAATGAGCTTTTCTTACAGACTGAAATTATGGCCACCGAGGGTGATATTTTTATTTATAATAGTCGTAGTAGTAGCAGTCTTGAGTAATATTTTAAGTTATCTGGTTTGGTTTACTGTATTCCTGAACTGCTTCCTGAACAAGATTTTGAGATCCCCTAAACATAGTTTCTTCCCAGTATGAATACTTGCGTGCAGCTATAAGTACTGGCCATTTTCAGTAGTGTCTTTGCTCTTTTCCAAACCTCAGTGTTTGCACATCCTTACAGCACATGAATCTAATGCAAAATTACATCATGAAGTTGTCCTTATTGTAAAAGCTAGAACGACCTGTTGTATTATCATACAACAGCTAGGCTACGGTCTTGCTTATTAGGAGATTTGATGTCCAGACTATAGCTGATAACGGGAATGGCTTTTCTCACTCTGTAGGGGGAGTCATTAATCTTTCAGTGCCTATAGTGCTGACAGCTACGCAGGAAGACAAAGAAAGACTGGATGGCTGTACAGCAATTGCATTAGTGTACGAGGGTCGCCGCGTGGCCATTCTCCGTAATCCAGAATTCTATGAGCATAGGAAAGAGGAACGTTGTGCGAGGCAGTGGGGAACGACATGCAAGGATCATCCTTACATAAAGGTATGTGTGTGAAGTTGAAAAGCTAGTCTGATAAAATGTCCTGTCTGTGGAGATGCAAATGAGTTGAAGTTGGTGTCTGTGACTTGTGTATTTTGAGAACAAAACTTCTTTGAGAAATAATTAAAACATTTGAATGGGAACAAAGGTACTCTTCTGTTCAATGTAGTTCATGAGTAATCTGTGCTTGGTGTGAAAACCCAATAAAAATATGAACATGTGAAATGAATTTGGGATACAGAATCTGTGCTGCAGAGGTGGGGGCTTTGCCCAAATGTGTGCCTAGGAAATCCATTCCCTTGTAGACCCAGATGGATCATCAAAGTTCCTTAATATGCAGTGTAAGGCAAGAAAAGTTCCTTTCTGACTGCAAGTGGAGCACATGAGAATTGCCTTGTTTAAATTCTTTTGAAACAGGCAACCTTCCTGAAGAGTTCATGATTTAACTCTCTGAGGAGTTATTTCCCATCTGTTGTGTTAAATATGTTTTACTATTTTGACCTTGTGTGGATGTCATACATATTTTAATCATAATGCACTCAATGCAGTACTGCATTTGGTTTTGAAAGCTGATGTAAATGTTACATTATAGCTCTGAAGAGCCATCAATGTATTACTCTTCCCATTAGTCTTTGTGGTATCTTTTTGTTTATTGTATGACTTAAATTCAGATAAAAAGAAATCAAACAAAACTCAAATTATGATTTCCCTATGGAAAGATAAAGCCTTTTATGTGTTCTAAAAGCATCTGTATGACTAATAGTTATACATATGTGAAAAAAAACATTTTTTTGACATCTTACCTGTTTTTCTTATTAATGTGTAATGACATCATTTTACTGAATAAAATTACACAACACCAACTATATAGTTAGGAATGTATCTGGAAAGGACATCTGCTAGATATAAGTAAGAGTGTTGAGAAAGGTGTGTCCTCAATGTTTCCTGTGCTGATGAATGTAAGATATTCGTTTTATTGAAAAAGTAACACAAACATAAGAAATGCTGAGAAAATCTTGGACAGAAAAGATTTGGGTGACTTGTTACAATATATTAACAATTACAGAATGTCACTACTGAAATTCACGTAGAAGATGAGAAACCATGTTCTGGTGTCTATACTGGCATGTATAGTAGTAGCACAACAGCATATGATTGTGTGTATTGTAGTTGCATGACACTGCATCAATCTGGTGGCACTTCTGAAATTGTCAGAAATCTTTGGGTGCCTCAGAGCTTATATAGTGGTGAGTTTTCTCAGTTTCATTATCTGTCTCACGCCTTCCCCTTCCTCCTAGGTGAGATGTGAAATCTGACATTTACTTGGGGAAAGGTATGGTGAATGCAGTACCACTGAACCCCAGCAGCTCATAATTTTTTTCTTATTTTTTTTAACATTGGTGCTTGGCTTCAGAATATCAAATACAATTAACCTGGAGCTGTCTCCTTTGTAAAGATCACATCCCTTTGCAGTGGTCTAAATGCTCAGAACAAGCTGTTTTTCATTACTTCTCCTAGATGGTTATGGAGCAAGGGAACTGGCTTGTAGGTGGAGATTTACAGGTCCTCGATCGTATTTATTGGAATGATGGACTTGATCAGTACCGTCTCACTCCAGCTGAACTAAGACAGAAGTTCAAGGAAATGAATGCTGGTGAGTAACTTTTTCTTGCTTTGTTTCTTCATGGAAAGGTTTATCCAAATGCCTACTGCCTCGATACTGCAAGGACAAACCTTGTTTCAGGGATACTAATTTTGAACCCTCTTTTAAGTGGTGTTCTTTGCCTTTTACTGGTATTTATTTGTATAAGTTCAGGCTCTGCCTTGCCTGAATGAGAAGAGAAGCTGGTAACCCTTAAGTTTCTGAATTTGATCTTTCCATGCACGCTCGACATATTATTAATGCAAGAAAAGATGATGTTAAAATGTGGTAGAACATGATTTAAAAATCATCGGATTTGACTAGAACTATAGAGGTATGCTGAATGCTGGGCTTTTATGCTCTTCTTTTCTTAAGTCTGCTACATGCTGCTTCTTGGGAGTAATGCTTATGATGGCTATGTAAATAAATGGATATTAAGTATCACAAACAGCCAGCTAATTCCAGCAACTAGCAGACAGCTACAGAGCACCTGAAGTGTGAAGGAAGAGAACACAGACTGCAAATATGCATGAAGAATGCAAACTGAGATTGGTCTTGAGGTCCTGTCTTTTTTCAGTATTGTCAGTATTACTGTGATCTTCAGGTTTGAGGTATACCAGCCTTGGTCTTAACTGTTCCCCAAATAAATATGTTTGATGCCTGAAAAAAAAGTTTACTATTTATATTTCACTGAATAGTTGAGGTTGTAAGTGATGTATGGAGGTCACCTTATCCACTCCCCCCACTGAAGCAGGACCACCTAGAGCTGGTTGCCTAGGACTACATCCAGATGGCTGTTATTATCTGAAGAGATAATCAACAATCTCCCCGTGAACCTATGTCAGTGTTTGCTCACCCTCACAATAAACATCTTTCCTGCTGTTCAAGTGGATTCTCCTTTGTTTCAGTTTGTGTCCACTGCTTTTTGTCGTGTCACTGAGTGCCACTGAAAGGAGTCTTTCTCCATCCTCTTTGCACCCTCCCTTCAGATATTTATATATATTGATAAGATTCCCCCGTGACCCTTGCCCAAGTTGATGAATCCCAGCTCTCTCAGCCTGTCCTCACTGAAGAGTTTCTCCAGTCTTTTGTGCCAAGGAACCCAGCTCTCTGTGGCCTCATCACTGCTGAGCAGTGAGAGGGAAAGAATTACCTTGCTCATGCTGCTACTTTGCCTAGTGTAAACTAGGGTCCAGTTAGATGCCTCTACTATAAGAGCACACTGCTGTCTCACATTCAACTTGGTGTCCAGTTGGATTCCCAGATCCTGTTTTCCAGAGTGGCTTTCCAGCTTGGTACAAGGTGTTGCTCAGATGCAGGACTTTGTGTATCTTGTTTAACTTCATGAGGTTCCTCTAAGACTGTTTTTCCAGCCTGTTGAGTTCACTCTGAATGACAGCACAGCTCTCCTATGATACTAGTCACTATTCCCAGTTTTGTGTTGTCTGCAAGCTTACTGAGTGTACTCTCTGCCTTATTATCCAGTCATTAGCAAAGGATATTAAACAGGATTGGACTGAGTTTTGACCTCCTGGGGATACTGCTGGTTACTGGATAGGTAGCATAGTTTGTCTTCCTCTTACAATTTAATTTAGGTCAGTATTATGTGCTCATGCAGTTAAAAATCTGAAGAAGAGGTTATTGCTGTTGGAGAAACTAAAGTAATTCTACTGAAATCTCAGAAATGAAGGAAGCTGATAGAAGTTTTAGTGTGCTTTTTATTAGATTTGCTTATTGAGAATACTGACCTGTGACTGCTACTGTTACACTTGTTTAATGAAGTTCCGAGGAAAGATTGTACCATTTGAAGATTTCTCTCTGGTTGTACAACTTCTGATTAATTAAGTTGCCTTCCTTATTGTTTGTCTTCTCTTTTTTTTTCTCCTCTCCGTAGATGCTGTCTTTGCCTTTCAGTTACGCAACCCAGTGCACAATGGGCATGCACTTTTGATGCAGGATACTCATAAGCAGCTTTTGGAACGTGGCTATAGGCGTCCGGTTTTGCTGTTGCATCCACTTGGAGGCTGGACAAAGGAGGATGATGTCCCTCTCATGTGGCGCATGAAACAGCATGCTGCAGTACTGGAGGAGGGAGTCTTGAATCCAGAAACAACGGTAGTGGCTATATTCCCTTCCCCCATGATGTATGCTGGACCAACGGAGGTAAGCATGTTAAGAGTTCAAATCACGGTAATGGCAACAACAAAACCAGAACAAAACCCCTTTAGTAGTGCAGTGAAATATTTTGTTTTGTGTTATTCCTCAGACTTGTGGGTTGTGGTTTTTTTAGAGGACAGAGAAAGCTAATTTCCCTTGTTAAAACAGACTGTAAAGGATCCCTCCATCATCAGTGAAAATGATATCCTTTGAAGAGACCTGTACAGTGAAGAATTTTTATGGAAAGAAAGGGAGACAATATGGTTTTTGTGTGCTCGTTTTCCTTACAGTTTTAAGGGTGTAATAGTGAATTAATCTTTCCTCCTTTTTTGCAACCTCTTTCAAAAGATCAATTACCAGGTGAAATAGCTGTCCTGAATCTTAAGTATCTTAAGTTTTGTAACTATTAAGCAAAAAGTATGTATATTGGAGAGTTGAACAAATTCAGAAGAAAAGGCTTTGTTATTTTTTTTTTGCACGCTTAATTTAGAATTGTTTTGAGGCTTCTATGTGAAATAATTATTTGGGAATGCTTTATTTAGAAACCAAGATTTGGGTTAAAACTCGTGTAGGTTGTGGGAAGCAATGGGAAAAACAAATGCTTTTGCTTGAGGGCAATTAATGTAGGCAACATTGTTTCTCCGCTTCATAACAGTTTTTTTTCTTTTGTGAGTCACAGGATGTTGGTATTCTGACCAGGTTCAAGTGATTAACTCTGTGGTAGCTTTTTGATAGATAGCAGAGAGACCTTTGGTGGGAAAAAAATTAGGAGGTTGGCACTTTCTTCTAGTGATTGTTCAACTGGTCAAACAGAGCTTGCATTACTTTTCAACCCAGAAGAACTGTAGTCCAGATGCAGATGAGGTATGTAACTGAGTTATTGTAGGGAAACTTGCAGTGTTCTCCATAGACCTCTTGTGAGGATTAATAGAAACATTGTACTTCAATCTCATACTCACAAGCATACAAGAAGAAGTGAAATCCCCAAACTTTATTCTGAATAGAGTAAGATTTTTTCCTAATATATCTCCAATAATTTCAGAATACAAACTGACAATAACACCTCTAGCCAGGAAATAAGAGATTCTTCCTCTAATGGTTTTCTGTAGGTCATTTAAAAGGCATACATACCAGATTTATTTCTGTAGCACGCATTATTTACAGGAATACAAGCTGCTGTTGAGTCAGCATGGTTATCAATAGGATGGATATCACCTTTCAATTTGTAGGATTTTGATGCATATGTTTCATGAGTGTGAATTTAGTATTTTTCTGTTTTTTTTTTCCTGTTTTTAACTTTCCTAAAACTACTTTGAAAGAAAGTAAACAGTTCTATGAAAAAATCCTGTATCAGACTGCAGTGAGCTCACCTGTGTAAGAAAGTATGTGTGTTCTGAAGTAGCACAGAGAATGGACAAGCTGTTTATATCTCAAACGTGTGATTTGCTTTGCTCTAAATTTTCTTAAAATTAGTCAAGCAGCATGATTTAAGAACTCCATTTTGTTACCCAAACAACAACATAAAATTTAAAAATTAAATTAATTAATTTAAATTAATAAATAGGATAGTTTTGGAAAACCTAATGCTGTGGTGTGCTGGCATTTGGTGAGATTTGGCCCATTCTGTGCTTGTGACACAAAGTGGTTAATGCATTTATCAGCATCTATAACACTCAGATGTTTGAATAGCAGTTGAGTCCATCAGTTGTAGCATCTGGATGTGGTCAAAGAAAAAACTGATACCAGTAACCTCATTACTCATGGCTGCTTCCTGATTCCATTATTTGAGTACTGGTTTATAGGAATCTTCAAACTGATTGTAAACCATCCTCCTTGATGTCTTTCTAACAATTAGTTATAGAACTTTAAATGACTAAAACAAGAATTTATCTTTTGAGATACCGTTTTTAGAGCTTCTTACCTAAAATTAAGATAGAACAAAATATGAAACATCACGATTTTGCTTTATATAAATTATTTGCAGTAGAAAAATGTAGCTTTTTTTCCTAAGAACAGCTGTACCTTGGTCTCCCAAGTAAGAATGTAAGAATCAAGACATTTCATAGTTTAAAATTCTTACTAAATCATTATTAGTAATTTACTGTTGAGACAGCTTTAGGCTGGACCTAAATCCTCAGATGATGTTATTCCAAACTGTAGTGAAGTCTTTTTTCATAGCATCCTGTTGTGCAAATGAAACAGGGAATGATGTGTCTTAGCTGTATATTTGGTGATTCATATAATTGATTGGTGAAAAGAATATTTGTTTGGCGGGGGGATGGAAAGTGCTCATGTTTTAATGATCATATTTTTAACTGTTTTCTTTTAACTTTTCACTTTGTGTTCTAGGTTCAGTGGCACTGCAGATCACGGATGGTTGCAGGAGCTAACTTCTACATTGTAGGCCGAGATCCTGCAGGGATGCCGCACCCTGGTACTGGGAAAGATCTGTACGAACCAACTCATGGTGCCAAAGTGTTGACAATGGCCCCAGGCCTCCGAGCACTTGAAATTGTACCCTTCAGGGTTGCAGCTTATAATAAGAAAAAGAAGTCCATGGACTACTATGACTCTGAGCAGTAAGTTGTATTTTAGTTCTAAAACATTTTGAACAACTGTCTTCTCCTGCCCTCACTCCCCAAGGAAAAAGAAGTATTAAATGAATATTGCTACAATATGTCAGTTTTTAGAGACATTTTTAGACCTCTAATGCAACTTGACTTCAGTGACAATTTGGGTGTAGTTTCACAGCACAACTTACTTGATCCAACTTTAGTTACTACTGGAAGCTCCCATATTTAAATTCCAAGCACCTGAGTTGACCTACTCTTGTTTTTGTAAGCTACAAAGTATTATCATCTTTTGCATAACTAAATCTAATTTTATGGTATGTTCTTGTGTTCCTTGGATATGATGAGTAGAAGGACAATGGCAAATGTACTGAAACCTGGTAGGAATTAACGTAGCTTCACTGTGTATTATTCTACAATGTTCATAGGTGATTAGAAATTCAATCATTTGCTATACTGCAGATGTTTTGAAATAGAAGCTAATCAAGGAGGCTTAATTAGCAGTTGTAGTTTGCTCTTCCTTAACTCCCAGAATTAGGACAGCTGACTTAAACTGGCCAAAGGGACATTCCATACTGTATGACATCAAGCAAAAGCAGTTTTGAAACAAATGGTAATTAATCTCACTCCCTTCCACCGCTTGAGGTGGCTAGCTGGGCATCAGTTGGGGGATGGTGAGTAATTGCTTGCGCATCACTTATTATATACATTTATGTGTGTGTGTGTATATATATACACACATATACGTATAAAAAATTGTCATAATTACTATCCTTTTGGGATAGTGGAAGGGTGCAAGCAACTGTGTGGTAATTAACTACCTGCTGGGTTAAACCACAACAGGAGTTTTTTCTGTTTCTGCCACTATTTTGGAAAAAAGTTAGTGCTGCTGTTAGCATGAAGCTTT